GACAACCCCGTAACAATATGCGTTTTGTACTGCTGTTACACAGCACAAAACGCATAAAAAAAACCACGTAAAATAACCAGCATAAATCAAATATAATCACAGAAATAACGAAAAATAACTAGAATTTTCCAGGCATCAAACAATCCCCCCATGAATTGATTGGCCCGAAACTGACTGCTTAAAATGGCTATGCCCAACAGAATTTTGCTCGTCTTCTTCGCAATAACCACCGTTTAATCCTATACTTATGTAAGGGGCGAGAGATGGTCCCTAGAATGTAAAAATGTAAATCGGCAATATTTGAAGATCAAAAAATCCGTTTCTCGAATATGATGATTAATGGAGATTTGGTGCTACGAGCTGATCAGACGCTCGTATGGTCCCCAGATGCTCCGAGAAGCATCGCCGGTTCTTTGTGACGGCGCCAGACCTCCTTGTTCGTGTTATCCCGGCTTTGTCTGGGCCTTGTTTGTTACCCCGCGGGTCAGCATGTATGATCGGGGAGGTGTGGCTCTAATTTTGTTATATAAGGCAGCTTATACTCAGAATAAACACAGTTTTACACCAGCACCAGTTCGACACCGGATCAACGTCTGCACGGCCTTTCCCCTTATTACAAGCACGTACTTCTACTTGCGCTACGTCACTCTTAAATAAATTTAATCTAAGAAAACTCAAAAAAAGAAAAAATTAAAAGTATGCCAGGGGATTACCTGTTGCCCATAATTTCGAGTAAATCTTCGTCACCAACAAAATAGAAGCGTGGGAACGAGCTACGCTCGCGTTCCAAGTATTCACCCAGTGCTTTTTGAATTTTCGCAAGCATATCAGCTAAACGTTCCAGCACTCGTTGCGCTCCTTGCATATTTACGATATCCAGGATTCGTGGTGCTGCTGTTACTTTTTTCATCAAAGCCAAAAATTCCGTGGAAATACTGCAAATAAAAAAAATACCTATTTAAAATAACGATACAAATGCATATGCATCAACAGAGGAAATTACTAATCCCGTACTATCGAGACAGATGATTATACCGCAGCTGAATCATCCAGACATACCAGAACAGAAGTACTGAACATTCGTTCAGGGCAAGCGAAATCCCTAGCTAGACATAAACTCACAAATCCGCAAATTCCGATACCCAGGATCGGTAGCAAAATCATCAAAAACATAAATCAATAGCAAAATCATCAGAAAGACATATTTTGCTAATCGAATCAGTTTCGACAGGGCGCACTTGCAACTAACAAATCCACCAAATCCACCAAACAAATAACTTGTAAATCCACCAAATAAGCATGTACCCCTGACCATTTCATATATATAGGCCTAGCAAAAAAAAACTCCGTTCCATAAAACATACCTCGCAAATCGAGATGATTCCACTGGCAGAAGCGTACTGATATCAGCTGATGCCGTGAACAGCCCTTCCAAGTAAACCCAACGGCGTTGCACATCAATCCAAACATCAAACAAAGCACTGATTTTATTAAGCTTCTCTTCCCAAGCCAACGCATCCTGGAAAAGTGTAAAAACCCAAAAATTCTGTTGCACAACTGAAGAGTGAAAGTGGTGCACTACAGAGCCGTATGGATCTCAAGGTACATGATTATCAGTTTTCTGCATGTAGCTCGGTCGTTTCGGTAAATGTTCGCTTTTTGAAAAAAAAATGACAAATGCAATTAATTCAACGCATCCTGGGAAATTTTAAAAACCTAAAAATTCTGTTGCACAACTGAGGGGTGAAAGTAGTGCATTACAGAGCCGCAAGGACCTCAAGGTACATGATTATCAGTTTTTTGCATGTTGCTCGGTCATTTCGGTAAATGTTCGCTTTTTGAAAAAAAATGACAAATGCAATTAATTCAACGCATCCTGGAAAAGTGTAAAAACCCAGAAATTCTGCTGCACAACTGAGAAGTGAAGTGAAAGTGGTGCATTACAGAGCCGTATGGACCTCAAGGTACATGATTATCAGTTTTTTGCATGTAGCACGGTCGTTTCGGTAAATGTTCGCTTTTTGAAAAAAAAAAAAATGACAAATGCAATTAATTCTTTCGGTCTTTCAACGGTTACCAAAACCAGTCTCTTCCATTCTGGCCACTTGGACAAACCAGATAATTCAAATAAACGATGTTTCATTGTTCCGCTTCTTTCTCCCCTGATTCAGCAGAAGACTTTTTTAACTTTCTAGATCAAAAAAGTTGCCGTTACATTCTTCTAACGCCGGAGAAGTAAAATTTTCCATTCACCAGTGGATTTTCAGCGCTAAATTTCCTCTTACGACGAAAAAAAATTCCACAACAGAATTTACCTCTTCAAACTGTTTGTAGTAGGGAGAAAGTTTCATTGCTGTAAGAGAATTCATGTGTTCCTTCAGTTTATTGAACAAATCATCCCAACCACGAATCAGCTTTGTTTTGTTCTGGTAATTCACCAGGTCCACTTCGAACGATTGCCAGTATTCACGAACCTGAACAGGAAATTCAGCTTTTCCTAAAACTGGTCATTTAAATGAAAAAAAAAAAAAAACTCAAATTCCATCAAAATGGCTCAAAAATCCAAACTCCCAACGTATGGCTTTCAATATTCCAGTGCATTTTTAACCATAGCTCATTCTTTCGCTTTTAACATACAATCAAGCTATACAGAGCTCTTCAGATCAATATTACCCGTACGACGAATTAGCTAAATAAGTCCTGTACTATTGAAATTTATCCATACAAAGAAGCAATAATTTCTAAGTTAAT